TGGTCCAGCTGGGACCAATTTAAGTAGGCATGTTCCAACAGTGATTGCCGCTACCTGTACCGACCAGCTGACCTGTTTCTTAGTGAACACATGAGATTGCTTGCTCAGCATGGGTGCCATTCAGAGAACAGATTGGACCAGGATGAAAAATACTGAACAGAATGGAAATTTTTTCTGTGCATAAACTAATTTCTAACTGCATATGTGGTTTTCAGTCAGAAAATTGTATTCATTTCAAAACGTTAAAAGCAAACAAAACTTTGAAGTACTGTCTAATGACATTTATCAAGTCTTTGAATTGAGAATTATGAATGTTTTTATTTGCCATGTTTAACTTTGCGTAAGTTGGTCTTACACCTATAAATTTTCATACAAATATTTTAAAGCAATTCTTTACCACTTCCCTCCTGCCCACAGTACATTTATTGCAGATGGGCAGCATGGGGAGGCTGGATCACGTACATGTACATCACCAGCCGAATTATGTGCAGCATGCTGCTATGACTGCTGTGCCTGGATTGCGGGTCTCAGTACCTTAAGTATCCACTTTAAGTATCCGGGGTATCACGTGATCGCTATGCAATCACATGATCACTATATAAACATAACTGTAATTAATGGGTTTCATACATAACAGATGTGCTTTGTATTGTGATGCTGTGATTGGGCCACAGCTATCACATGGTACCTGAGCCAATCACAGCACCGTTCTATGTGATAGCTGTGGACCAATCACAGCACACAATAGTAATCACAGCTGTTATGAATGTAACCCATTCATGATAGTTCAACACATTGCTGTTACAGTGATCATCACAGTAACAGCAATCTAAGTGTTAAAAAAAAAAATCCCTGATCATCCCCCCAGAGTGGAACAGTGTCACTATGGTGAAACTGAACTACTTTGATGAAAGTATGTAAAAAAAAAAAGGTTAATAAAAAAAACAAAATTGTGACAAACAAAAATACAAACTTCGAAAAAACTCGCCTTGCCTCTTACTAAATGCCTCAGGCTGTCTACTTTCAAAAAGAGGTAATTTGGGTGGTATTTCTCCTGTCCTGGCATTTTAAGGGCCGCAAGAAATGAGATAAGCCATCAGTACTGATCAATTTTCATTATATATATAGCCACATTTTGTTATGTTACAGCCTTATTCCAAAATGGATTAAATGATTAAAATTCATTTTTTTCTTCAACATTCTACAAACAATACCCCATAATGACAACGTGAAATGTCATTTTGAAATCTTTGCAATATATTAAAAATAAAAATTTTTTTAAAAAACCACACATGTACTGAAGTATTCAAAGCCTTCACTCAATACTTTTTTGAAGCACCTTTAGCACCAATTACAGCCTCAAGTTGTTTTGAGTATGATGCTACAAGCTTGGCACACCTATTTTTGGGCAATTTCTCCCATTCTTCTTTGCAGTACCTCTCAAGCGTCATCAGGTTGGATGGGGAGCGTTGGTGCAGAGGTTTCGAAGGTCTAAGGACAATTCCTTGGACTTCATGGCTTGGCATTTGTGCTCTGACATGCACTGTTAACTAAGGGATCTTATACAGGCAGGTTTATGCCTTTCCTAATCATGTCCAATCAACTGAATTTCCCACGGGTGGACTCCAATCAAGTTGTGTAAACATCTCAAGGATGATCAGTGGGAACAGAATGCAGCAGAGCTCAATTTTGAGTGTCATGGCAAAGGCTGTGAATACTTGCGTACATGTGTTTTTTAAGTTTTAATTGCAAAGATTTCAAAACGAACTTCTTTCACATTGGTATTAATATAAACATACATACATACACCATAGTTTGTAGACATCATATATTTTGCACAATCCAAATGTCGTCCTTTTTTTTTCTTCTGTACTAAAGGCATGCAGCAGAATACATTTTGGCCTAAATTTATGAAGAAATTTGATTTTATTGGATATGTTTTATAAAAGAGATATAAAAGAAATTTTTTCATATTTTCAGCCTTTTTTCCTTTATAATCACCAAAAAAAAAAAAAAAAACAAGTGGTGATCAAATACCACCAAAAGAAAGTTCTAATTTGTAAAAAAAAAAAAATAAATTTATTTGCATAGTGTTACATGATTGTGCAAGTGTCAAGCAGCAGTGCCGAATAGCATAAAATGGCCTGGTCATGAAAGGGGTAAAACCTTCCAGTGGTCAAAGCTGGACATTTCTACCTTTACACTTTCACTGCCAGGTCCATACGTTGTACAGACCTGACAGAGGGTTTTTTTTCTACACACAATCTAGAGGCTGCAGCCACTACAGACTACTGCCTGTCAGGTGGAAGCAGCTGGGCAACTGCAATGCTGCCCGATTTCTTACACAGCTCCCAGTAACAGTGCCTGTCTGCTCTCCTCCCCTCCTGCTGTGCCCTGGAGAGCGACGTGTATGACGTCACTTCTGGGTCACCGTTGTCACTTTCCTTGACTACAATAGCTGGGGAGAAATGTATTGCAATGTGATCTGCATTGCAATACATCCAGTGGAGCCTAGGGGAGACATGCAGAGTCTTTTAGACCCTGCATGTCTCATTAAAGAGAGTCTGTCATCTAAAATTCGTCACATAGGGGAATTTGTGTCCCCTATGTGATGGGAAAAAAAAAAAAGTAAACTTTTTTTTTTATTGCAAAAGTAAAGTTACACCCAAGCACATAACACCCCCCCCCCCCCCCCCCCAAAAAAAAAATTTTTGGAGGCCCCCACATACAAACGTAAACACACGCGTCGGGCGCACCTACAAATAAACGATTGATTGCAGTACACATGTTGTACACTGGAGTGAGAACAATAATTCTAGCACAAGACCTCCATAACAATAAACTGATGACCTGTATGGGATTTTGAAGCATCACCTATAGAAAATATAGGGTACTGAAGTTTGTGGCCATTTCACAGGAGCACACAAATTTAAGGTTTGACATGCTGAATACCAAAAATCTGGGTAATTTATTGCGTTTTTTTGCCCTAAAATCCAGGTTTTTTTCTGAAAGTATGTGTTTTCTAGACCGTTGCATTAATATTGTGTGACAAAATTGGAACTACCACTATTTTATTCTCTAGGGTGTCTGCGAAAAATATATGTTTGGGGGTATTGTGTAATCTTCAGGCCTAAAATTATTTTTTAAATGTGTGCAAAAAATTCAAAAATGGCTCTGCCAGCAAAAGGGTTAAAGGATAAGTTGACCTTTGTAAAAAAAAATTAAAAAAAATGCACATCTATTTGCAGGTAAAAAAAATGCATTTTCAAAAAAAGTTTTCTTACTATGAGCCTGAAAAGCATTGCACCCGTGATCAGCAGATCGTAGGTGCAGTGCAGGGTTCTTGCAGAGTTATTAGTGTATCTGTCTGCTTGTACAGGCAGGCAGTTCCACTTTTCACGTAGACTCAATGAACTAACTAGTTCTTAACAGCACCCTGGTAGTTAATTGAGAACTAGACAGCCAGCCACAAAGGCTACATGTACTTGTAATTTCCCATTCCTATTCATAGGTGATGCAGCCGGCCAGGCAGAGCCCGACACAGCAGCTTTTTAGAAGAAAATTGTGACAGCAGTGTGTGCGTGGAGGGGTTTGTGTGTAGAGATCCTGTTCGCTGTCAAACAGGGGATCAGTGGGTATGGTGCATTTGTAACCCGTTACACCCTGAATATGGCTGTAACATGTTAAAAACAAGTGAACTTATCCTTTAATGCATTCTCTGCATTAAAGTAAAAAAGGTCTCATTACTTGTATCGCCCCCTCAACCCCCTGTATACTTATATATAGAAAAAGTGCAGCGCTAGAAGTATTCAGACAAATTCATGGTTGCAATGTTCATAAAGGGGTAATAAGTCCACAATATATGAGCTCAAGGTGATATATTGATCCCACGGTCGTGGGTCGAATAAAAATCGGTGAGGGGCAGGGAATGTATGAAATGCGCACTCACCAGAAGTGCAAATAAAATGCGCCATGTATCAGCAAAATGGAGGTCTGCCAGGGGGTCCTTTTCAGAATGCAACTGTAGCCAGCCTAGGCAGACCTCCATTTTGCTGATACATTGCGCATTTTCTTTGCGCTTCTGGTGAGTGCGCATTTCATACATACCCTGCCCCTCACCGATTTTTATTACTTATTACCCTTTTATGAACATTGCTACCATGAATTCGTCTGAATACTTCTAGCGCTGCACTTTTTCTATATACATGTCTTTTGAAAGGTTTATGGTTTCCTTTAGTGTGCTTAGCTGCTTTCACAAATATATTGTGAGCGCTCACTGAGTTTTTCTACCCCTGTATACTTACCTGAGCCTGATCTCAATCCAGCACTGTGCCCAACTACAGGGGCTCTCTCCTCTCTCTCTGCTCACAGGGACAGCAGCAGGAGCATTTGGCACCTGCTGCTGTCAATCAATTCTGGAGAGCAGAGCGGGAATGGGGCTGAGACACTCTGTATGTCAATAGACACACACAGCCCAACTGAAAAGCTAGACCGCAGGTTTGGCCCCATAGGAAGCGGTTTCCTATGGTGGCACACTGAGAAAAGCCCAGAGTGCCATCAGGGAGAAGAGGAGGTTCGGGGCCTCTCTGTGCAATACCATTGCACAGAACACGTAAGTATAACATATTTATTATCTTAATTAAATATAAAGCTTTACAAACACTTTACAAGTAAGCCAGCACAACTGTAAAACCGTGAGTCTTCTGATTCCTACATAAACCAAACAATTACTGAAAAATTATAGTAGACTATCTGAAGTAGTTTTATTCATGTATTAATATTCTCAAAGCTATGCTTGAGCACCATGTGCTAAATAACAAAGTCCACATATAGAAGCATATCATTTAGGACAAATTAATGTAATTCTTTAGATCTGCCATATTTTATATATACTATATTGCTATATTGCCAAAAGTATTGGGACACTCCCTCTAAATAATTGGATTCAGGTGTTCCAATCACCTCCATGACCACAGGTGTATACAATCAAGCACCTAGGGCAGACTGCTTCTACAAACATTTGTGAAAGAATAGAGCTCAGTGAATTCAAGCTTGGTAACGTGATAAGTTGCCACCTGTGCATTAAGTCCATCCGTGAAATTTCCTTTTTGCTACTACAGTCAACTGTTAGTGGTATTATAACAAAGTGGAAGCAACTGGGAACAACAGCAACTCAACCACGAAGTGTTAGGCCACATAAACTGACAGAGCGGGGTCAGGTCATGCTGAAGCGCACAGTGAGCAGAAGTCAGCAACTGTGTGCAGTCAGTAGCTAAAGACCTCCAAATGTCACATGGCCTTCAGATTAGCACAACAGTGTGTAGAGATCTTCATGGAATGGGTTTCCATGGCTGAGCAGCTGCATCCAAGCCTTACATGACCAAGTGCAATGCAAAGCACTGGATGCAGTGGTGTAAAGCACGCTACCACTGGACTCTAGAGCAGTGGAGATGTGTTCTGTGGAGTGACGAATCACGCTTCTGCCTGGCAATCCAATGGACGTGTCTGGGTTTGGCAGTTGCCAGGAGAACGGTACTTGCCTCACTGCATTGTGCCAAGTGTAAAGTTTGATGAAGAGGGGATTATGGTGTGGGATTGTTTTTCAGGGGTTAATCTTGGCCCCTTAGTTCCAGTGAAGGGAACTCTTAAGGCATCAGCATACCAAGACATTTTAGACAATTTCATACTCCCAACTTTGTGGGAAAAGTTTGGGGATGGCGCCTTCCTGTTCCAACAGGACAGAGCACCAGTGCACAAAGCAAACTCCCTAAATATATGGATGAGTGAGTTTGGGGTGGAGGAACTTGACTGGCCTGCACAGAGTCCTGACCTCAACCCGATTAAACACCTTTGGGATGAATTAAAGCGGAGAGTGCGAGACAGGCCTTCTCGTCCAACATCAGTGCCTGACCTCACAAATGCGCTTCTGGAAGAATAGTCAAACATTCCCATAGACTCACTCCTAAACCTTGTGGACAGCTTTCCCAGAAGAGTTGAAGCTGTTATAGCTGCAAAAGGTGGGCCAACTCATTATTGAATCCTATGGACTAAGACTGGGATGCCATTAAAGTTCATGTGCATGTAAAGGCAGGTGTCCCAATACTTTTGACAATATAGTGTATGTATCTCATAGTACACAAGGCAATGGGTATAGGCTTTCAAACAATCCAAGCATTTTGTAATGTGTATATGAATCTTTCCATTTTATGATTTGTGTCCCAAGCCGCCTTTTAATTTTGCACCAATTAAATGTGACAAGTGGGGAAACTTCAAAAATTTTCCAAATGACACGATCGATTATTTTTTGTAACTGTGGAGCCTCATGGCTATATCTTGTATTTAGTTCGCCTGCATTTTTTGCCCAGATGATTGTTGAAATGTGATGTATGTGTCTTGATAACTTGGTAGGTTGACAGAAAATACATAAAGTCGGCCAGTAGACATGCATTCAAACAGTATTAAAAATGGATCTGCTGTAATACAGTATTTTAGAATGTGATATTCTTTGCTCTAAAGTAATAGAATTTAAACATGGCTAGTTGCATTTAAACTCTTAGTGCAGGCCTAATGGGCTTTCAAGGTTCTTAACTTCATACTTGTGTGAACACACAATAGATATCATCTGCAGGGCCATTGAAAGAAATAGGTATCACAAATATAGACCAAAGTGTTTAAAGTGCACAGTTAGTCATGGCTTATATCCATTAATTCCACTAGGGTATTTTTTGGAAATTTACAGGTAGGTGTTTAACTGGGTGTTTTCTGCTTATTCACAACCATTTCCTAAATTCTGACATGCCTATTCTAAAAGCACTCTTCAGTATACACACAGTTAATAGTACAAACTGTACTGTTGACTCATTGGTAAGTACAAGAAAACAGGCCATTGGTCAGACTCACGACCGGCGTCAGAGTGGGGTTAGTAGCCACAGCGGGCGAATGGCCAGTGCCAGGATGAAAGGCGCCCTGTTACTTTATACAAAGGGAACCTTGTCAGGGTCTTGCGCAGACCCAACCCTGTGTCCAGCCGCAAATGTTACATCAACTTATTTACAGAAAAACATAGATGTGTAACTCATAGATGTATGTCCACCTCTAAATGTATCCAAAAAATGCTCTTAATGCTCAAAGCCAATATTTTATTAACATGTCTATGGCCTGAGATCACGTTCAACAGTCATTATCTGTGACATAACCATGAAAAAAAACTTATTAAATAGTTGTCAATGAACCAGCTAAACACTGCTAAGAACCAGTAATCCATACAGTCAAACTCTTGCTGAAAATGAAGAAATTCAGTAGCACGGAGATGCCTGTAAGAGAAGATTATTAAAGATTATTATATTCCCTTCTATATTACCTGTAAGGAAAGCAGGGAGTAAAATTCCAGTAAAAAGCAGCAGCAGCGCGAGCTGTGGGGTCCTCATGCAAGGCATGTCTGTCTCTGGCTGGGAAGATGTAGACTGAGAGGTGAGACGTTAGGGAGACCTTGCAGCCTCCGGGTTAACAAAGGTGTCTCTGTCCAGCAAGGATGGAAATGTTTAGCTGAGGATCAAGAGAGAAGTACATACACACCCCAGACACCTCACACTCCCCTCATATCCCTCCTACTCCATCACGTCAGGAACCAGAGCCACCCAGCAAAATTCCTTCTCCAAAACCATCCCAAAAAGAAAAAGTGTACTGTCCTTACCTCTTTTTGCAGTATAGTTGTAGAAAATACTCTGTTAATACATTTCCTTATGATTGTAGCCAATAACGTTGGAATTGGTGCCTTCAATATTTAAATGGCACAAAGTAAAATATATCAAAATGTTCTCCATGTGAATGAGTCAATATCATAGCACACCAAAACTATTTTAATGTCCTAGAACTTTAATTATGTCTAAAAGCTCATGTCTTCTATAGTTTCATAGACAATATATAAATATTTATAAAATATCTGTAATTTGGACTCATAACTGTTATTCTGAAAGGGGAAATTGGGTTGCCATGGGAAATGTAAACTCTTTTAGACATGCGGTCCTGTGTCCTAGAACAATTATAAGGTTACGTGCTTATTAGCATTTATGCTACTCTTGCACTGAAATGCTGTAGTTTTGAGCAGAACAGTACTCAGCTTGGGCCAATGGAGCTGCTGTCACCCTAGATGTTATAGGCATTTACAAATCTGGAGGAAATAAAAGCTTCATGGGCTGGGTACAGAAGCCAGGAGGGAGACAGGTATAGTTTATTAACCTTTAACTAATACTTGATCTCTGCGGTGAATGCTGATCTGAAAACTTTGTTAAGTATAATGCTTGCAGATCTGTGTTTACCATATACAGTCATGGCCAAAAATATTGGCACCCTTGCATTTCTGTCAAATAGTGTACCACTTGGCTCAGGAAATTGTTGCAATTCCAAATATTTAGGCATTCTCATGCTTATTTCTTTTGTTTGTATTGGTATGACAAAAAAGTGGAGAAACAAAAAGCCAAATCTGACACATTCCATGAAAACACCCAAAAATGGACTGGACAAAATTATTGGCACCCTCAATTTAATATTTGGTAGCACACCCCTTGGAAAACTAACTGAAATCAATTGCATCCTGTAATCATCAATGAATTTCTTACACCTCTCTACTGGACTTCTCGACCAAATTTCTTTCGCCAACTGCTCCAGGTCTCTCAGATTGTAAGGGTTCCCTTTCACACCTGCTGTTTTGAGACCTCTCCACAGGTGCTCTATGGGATTGAGATTGCTGGGCAGTTCAGTACTCTCCAGTGCTTTGTCTTAAACCATTTCTGGGTGCTTTTTGATGTGTGCTTTTGGTCATTGTCCTGCTGTAAGACCCATGACCTCTGATGGAGACCCAACTTTCTGTCACTGCGCCCTACATTGCACCACAGAATTCTCTGGTAGCCTTCAGATTTCTTAATGCCATGAACATAGAAATGACATCCAGTGCCTGAAGCAGCAAAGCAACCCCAAAATATCAGTGAACCTCCACCATGTCTGACTGTATTCTTTTCTTTAACTGCTTCCCTATAGCAGAAATACTGCTACAGGGTGGCAGGGGTACGCAAAATCACGTATATATACAGGATTATGTATTTCCGGGTAGGGGGCACGCGCTTGCCCTACCCGTGCTGCCGTTCGCGGCTGTCAATCATTGGGTCCCGGCCGGTAATTACCAAGGATCTCCGACAGGGAGGAGGGCTGCTTTGTTTACTAACAGTCCCCCTCCTTGTGGGCTCAGGCACACTGTTCTGGATGGCTGTGCACAGCACAGCCACCCAGAGCAGTGTGCTTACAGTGAAGCACCAACACACCGCCCCCCATTAGAATACTCCCAGCACACAGGTAACCCTTTGATCGCCCCTCATGTTAACCCCTTCCTGCCCAATGTCATTAGTACAGTGCCAGTGCTTTTATATTTTTTTTTTAAAGCACTGATCACTGTATATTGGCGTCACTGGGGATGTCAGTGACACCAAGCCAGTTCTCGCCAGTGTCAAAATGCCTGCCGCAGTGCCGCTATAAGTCGATGATCACCACCATTGCTAGTGAAAAAAAAAAAACAGTATATATACCACCATTTGTAAATGCTATAACTTTCATGTAAACCAATTAATTTACACGTATTGGGATATTTTTTTTAGCAAAGACGTGGCAGAATACATTTTGGCCTAAATTTGACAAAATTTGATTTTTAAAATTTGTTTACTGGACATGTTTAATAGCGAAATATCAAAAATATTTTTTTCTCAAAATTGCCGGTCTTTTTTTTTTTATAGCGCAAAAAATAAAAACTGCACAGGCGATCAAATACCACCAAAAGAAAACTCAGTTTGTGGGAAAACAAGGATGTAAATTTTATTGGGGTGCAGCATTGCATGACCGCGCAATTGTCAGTTAAAGTAACAGCGCCGTAACGTAAAAAATGGCCTGGTCCGGAAGGGGGGTAAATCCTCAGGAAAGCAAGTGGTTAAAGGCCTCATTTCTTTTTCTGAAAACAGAATGATAGGCTTAATCAAAAAGCTGTAATTGTGTTTCATCTGTCCACAGCACATTCTCCCAAAAGGATTTTGGCTTCCTTGGGTAGGTTTTGGAAAACTCCAGCCTGGTTTTTTTATGTTTCTGTGTCAGCAGTTGGGTCCTCCTGGATTTCCTACTATAGTGACCCTTTTCATTCCGATTGCGACGTATAGTGCAAGCTGACACAGTTGTACCCTGTGCCTGAAGGTCAGCTTGAATTTATCTGGAAGTTGATCGAGGTTCATTACCCAACATTAGAACAATACTTTGTTGCAATATTTGATTAATTTTTCTCTTTTAATCAACATCCAGGGAGATTAGCTACAGTGCCATGGGCTGTAAATTTCTTGACAATGTTGCGCACAATGGACACAGGAACATTAGGATCTGTTATCTGATACAGGCAAGTTTAATTACAAATTACAGGAGCATCACAAACTTGGAATGCAATTATGTTTTACAATTTTCAGAAGGTGCCAATAATTTTGTCCAGTCCATTTTTGGGGTTTTGCATGGAATGTGTCAGATTTGGCTTTTTTTTTCTTCAGTTTTCTGTGTCATACCAATACAAACAAAAGAAATAAACATGATAATGCCTAAACATTTGTAATTGCAATAATTTTCTGGGAGAAGTGGTGCATTATCTGACAGAATTGCAGGGGTGCCAATATTCTTGACCATGACTGTAGATCAAATAAAAACTGAAATCCAGGTAAATGGAAAAGCAAAATAATGCAGCTCTGTATTCATTATTGCATATTTTTAAATCAAGCTTTGCAAGACTCTTGATATTAATTAGCCTCTTACAATCTCCCACTTAGCATAACTTAGACAATGGGTACTTAGTGGGAAAAGCAGCATACGGAACCAGACAATAGTCCTGCATTTTTTATGTACTAACAAGGAGCATGCTGATAGGTGGAAAGAGTGACAGACAGAGGTGGTTTTTTCAGTCTCCTGCTACTCCTTTCACTGTTCAGTTTAAAGGTTGGTGGAAGGACAAGACTTTTAAGTGTTACTTAACTGCAGCAGAGAAAGAGGCAGGTCCCCTGCCCAACAGGGATGTATGTGTGGCCGAATTGGGCAAAACTCCGGACTTGATATAAAAAAAAAAAAAAAAAAAAAAAAAAAAAACCCTGAATACAAATCCACTGGTAGGTAAAAACTCTTGTAAATGTATTTAATCCATGTATTTAGGATTTGCCTGGAGTACAGGATAGCTATCCACCAGTGCACACTGTCATGAGGAATTTAGCCAGACTTAGGAAAAGCAATGGGAAGTACAGGAGAAAGCCCTTCACCAATGATATGTAGCATTTTTGATTCAAGGCATTCCCAAGTGAAGCAGCACATTGTTAACTAGACAAATAAAATATGAAGATCAGGGTTTTTTCTTCCTTTATTATACCAACAAGTGGCACCATGTTCTTTTGCTTTTTCTTTTGTTCTAATGCGAATTCAGGAAATACCTACTGTTAAACTGATCCATCACTTTAATGCAGGATAAGACTTTAAATTAAGGCAAAACTGAACAAACCTTTAGGCAAAATGTTTGCACTGAGTACTGTTGTGACAAGCCTTCTGGCCTCGTGACCCACTGTTACTTTTTAATGGCTTTCCATTCAAATTGCCCATTGTATTGTGAAGATGTCGCTACCCGTGTTTCTCCAGAAACTCTCCATATAACACCAGTGAGCTCACAGAGCATACCAAATCCCGATAAAGAGAATAAATAGGAACTTTCCATGACAAGAAGTAAAATAAATTAGGCTTTAATACAACTGTGTCTCTGGGACTTTTGTTCATGTAGCGACCCTATAACATAAAGTAAACTCCTGCGTTATATTTTAATTTTCCACTCCCACATATTTGCACTCCTGAGCCACATCTTCTGCCTCCAATGGAAGGCTAGTAGTCTTCGTGATATACGTCATATCTGTTTGAGAACGCAGATTGTTCAGTTGAGTCTTAGCAGGGAGCATGAACTAAAGATTTCTTTTTTTTTTTTTTGGTGGCAGCTGCCCAGTGCTTGATTGTCCATATGCTGGCATTTCTCAGATAATGGAGGAAGACTGTGGCAGACAAACTGAAGCTTCTCTGGACCACACTGACATTCACCAAGCAATAAGGCATCCAAATCAGAAATGTTATATTACAACCAGTGCTTTATTGAGGTCAGGCCTGGCATCCCCCCAAATCACTGCACATGGGGGCAAAACTTAACAGTGGTCTGGGAGCTGAGTAAACTAAGTGTGGCAACGTTGATCCACACCATATATCTGCACTTCTAAGTAAATATGCATAACTAGGCGGAGCAGGTCTTAAGAACTCAACCAACAGCACCAAATGATTCATGTTTTTCATAGAATCAAATTGTAGAGTGATCTGTACGAGTCAGAGAAGTAGCTGCAATTAATGTTGCTCCCCCTTGACAACTATTATAGAAAAAAAAAATCAGTTAATTGATGCACATGATAAAGTGCAAGGTGTGGACAGAGGGGAGCAACACCATTCATTTCTCTATATTTTCACTTCAGAAGTGCAGAAGGCCACTTATGCACTGCACAAACTTCAAAAGCTCCACACAAAATTAGGATGCCTTACAAAAATCCACAGAGCTGAACCCCAACAAAGCAGTGAGGGGAGGTGCAAAGTCCAACCCAAAAGCCTCCTCTCTCCACCCAATAACGGTGGAAAAGGTAACAGACTGTGCAAGTCTCTGAAACGAGACCGGACAGTACTGTGATAAGAGAAGTGTAATGTTCCCCTTAAATCACTCTCTACCCACCCAGAATGCCTTCACCACATTGCCCAGGAGGATGCCTAGGTGAGTGGAGGGTGAAGCATGCTCAACACTTGTCCTGCTCTGCAAAGCACTATGGGAGGTAGCCCTGTGATGACCTGAGCAGGGCACTGGGAGTGTGTTTTTGGGGTAGGTGGAGTCAAAAGTTCGGCTACCTCCTCTCATTGAAGCAGAGGTAGGGGAGTGGGACAGGTTACCCCTACCCCACTACGATGATCAATAGTCCTCCAGAGTCTCTATCTCGCCCATGTTCAACCTCTCAGAGGAAGCATTGACAGAAAATCCTGAAACAAAGAGGCAAAGCATTACATAAGAATGGAGTCAAAACAGAGGGCAGAGAAGTAATATGAAGGAGATTAAAGGGCAGATTTATAAAGAGGTAAATATGAAATTTATCAAATATTCATAACACATGCACTAGGAGGATTTACTTGCAAGGAATATTTGGTGAATATGAATATTTTCTGATTTATAAATATGCCCCCTAAGCAATAAAAAGATTACCAAAGAAAAAAAATGAGGCAAGAGATGTATGAATAGCAGAAAGCAACATAAAAATAAAATGGGATGCTAAGTGGGAAATGAAAAGTAAACACTTGCCTAGAAGACTTGGATCTGCACGAACCATCTTCTGTTTCTTTTTCTTGCGTCCAGCGCTTTGTGCAGTTTCTAGTGTTGCCGGCTGCAAGTTGTTTTGACTTGTTGGGTACATGCCCCATCCAGATTCCTGATAAAACACAAAACAGTATTTTATTAAATGACAAAATGAGAAATCTAGGTTACTTTACCTGCCTTTATGCTCTCTATCTTTGGAGTTAAATGAACTGTGACCCAGGGCACATGCCAACTGAAGTAGGAATTTTGATGTAAATTCCATATCTTGGGATTGCAGCACATGACACTTCTTCAATTTATCCTTAAGCAGGCCATAGAGAATGAAGTTAGTGTGGATCATCGAATCGTTTGTTTTTCGCATCATTAGTGTGCCAGGCGTGACACGATTTTCGTATGGCAATCAAAAGTGCCTGATTCAACTTTTTCTTTAGAAAAACAAAACAAATGATGGCACGATCGTATGAGCTATTTTTGATTGACAGAACGTTGGGTTTTCGACTCATCTATGGCCAGCGTAAGATCATGTGCCACTACTTTCAGGTGACCAGACACTGGAGCAAACGTTTTGCTGGAAACCACATCCCCACGTACCCAATATAACACTGGTCACACCACAAGGCAAGCAGTAAGGAGATCAGAGAAAAAGGGGAGGGACCTGTGTCCTGTACTTCAAGATATTGTGTTTACAGGTACTGTATGTCGAAATTCCTACTAATAAAACCTACAGTACTGGACACAACTGTGGATTCCTACACCAAAACTGGGCATCCCCAAGCAGTAAATCAAGGGGTGGCCACTAAAAAGAAACAAAGTTGCAGCAACATGCTCGAAAGGAAAAACAAGCAGGGCCAACAGACTTAACAGACAACAGCAGCAGCACTTTATAGCTGAAGCAGGAATCAGCAGAAGCTTATAAAACCAACTGTCAAAAAGTATTTAACCACTTCCAGTCAGGACAATTTTACCCCCTTCCTGCCCAGGCCAATTTTCAGCTTTCAGTGCTATCACACTTTGAATGACAATTGCGCGGTCATGCAACACTGTACCCATATGAATTTTTGTTAGTCTTTTTTTGAGACAGATAAAGTTTTATTTTGGTGGTATTTATTCACCACTGGGATTTTTATTTTTTTTTGCTATGTAAATGAAAAAGTCCAAACATTTTGAAAAAAAGTGTTTTTCTTATAAAATTTTGCAAATAAATAATATTTCATCATAAATCTTGGCCAAAATGTATTCCGTTATATTTTTAGTAAAAGAATAATAACCCAAATTAGGTTATAACCAAAACTTATAATTTTTAAACATTTTTTTATATATATATATATATTTTTTTTTTTTTTTTTTTTTTACATACTGTCACCCTAGCAGTACAGTGTCACCATGGTGACACTAATACTTGTGGGGGGGTGATGAAGATTTTTTTTTTTACACTAATTGCTTTTACACCCATAAAGGATGTAAAAGCAATAATTTCTCCTTCTCTCTAGCTGCATTCTTGCAGGCATTGAGAACTACTGAGTGAGCTGTGATTGGTCACAGCTTGTCACATGGTTCAAGGCTGTTGTGAAAAGCCTTGTACCAGGTGACCTCTGTGATCATTCACAGATTTCACACTTAGTAAGCAATGATGTCACAAGTGACATCTTGCTTACTACTCTGCATGTGATCAATGATTGGGCAATCAGTGATCACACGATCGGGACCTCGTACAGACGGACACAGCGGGCACCGGATCACGGTGCTGCGCGCTCCCCCAGGGAGCGCACACAAGCAGGGTGCAGGGAGGCCGTTTATAAACTGCCACCCGACCCTGCACTGCCATCGTCTGGCCATTTATATATAACGGCCGGACGGGAGGTGGTTAACAGGCAGAGGCACTGCCTCCTTTGAGTAGGACTGATGCTAAATTCTGTAAAGAACCCCAATCTCCCCCTTCAGGGACAATGGGTGCAGGTAGGAAAAGAGGGACTCATTCCCCGAGGGTGGAAGCCCTGCTGGGAGACCTCTACAGGAGCATCTGTAGAACAGACACATGAATGAACATGCTTGATAGAATGGGCAAACAAATGCTGCGGTATCAACAGACCAACCGCATGTGGAGGGAAACAAGGCCATAAAGGGGACAACTAAGGAGAGGGGCAATGTATCTTTTCCTACCAATAGGTCAGTGCAGTAGGACCAGTGTCAAGATCAATTTTTTTTAAGGATGTAAGATCAGGAAGACTGCTCAGGCTTGTGGAGCAGGTAACCCAGTGATCTTTGACCTTGACTTAGGGCAGAATCTGGCAGATGTAGGCATGTGTATATAGTTGGTCCAGGTAATGTAGATGTAGGCCTGTGTATATAGGGGGTCAAGATAATGGTAGGTAGCCAATCAGCTTCTAACTTCAGCTCTTTCAAGTAAGGTTTTATGAAAAAACTGGAAGCTGATTGATTTCTATACAGAGCTGCACCAGATTTTGCACTCTCCAGTTTTAGTACATCAACACCTGTGACCTATTTTCCTTCTGAAAATGAAAGTGCAATTGACAGTTCATGTTGTAGTATCTTAAAATAGTCAGGGGGTGGAAAGGCAGAAGAAATTTTATGGGTGTTAGTACCTAGCATTTCCAGAAGTGGCAATAGCCTCTGAAGTAAATCAGATATGGTGACAGTCAGACAGGCAGAATTTTGCAAGTCTATGACCGTCTGAGTCACAGGGCTTGAGCGATGTCAGTGTAAGACCCTTTCACAAGGGTGGACAGATCAGGTCTGCCTGTCCATTTTTCAGGAGGACCTGTTCGGACCATCCACTGTTCTCTATAGGGAGGCAGATGTAAATGGACACGTGTCTGTTTACACCCGCCTGCATCCGATCCAATAAAAACAAAAGGATGGGGATCGATTCTCCATCTGTCTAGCAGATCGAATGACAGCTGGATGTAAAAAGACAGATGGTTTGTTTACATCCAACTGCCCATAGAGAACAGCAGGCTGTGTCATCAACCTATCATCCTCCTGCTAAGCGGGGATTTGCGGACAGATTCCCCACTGAGCAAGCGGATCTGCTTGGTTGAGTCTGCCCATGTGAAAGGGGCTTTACACCTTGCTCCAGAATATGGGAACTGCTAGCAGCCTGAGAATAACTTTTTCCTCAGGGCCAGTGTCGGAATTCCTGCTATTTTGTCCCATGTGCACCCACCTGCCTGTAATTCGCCACTGCTAAGAGGGTGTTCCCATGAGCGGTATTCATGGCATAGATGCGGACTGAGGGGGTTCAGCAGGCGTGGTATGTAGGAATCACAATAATGTCCCCCTGACGTTCTGTGGTGGTGTCTCTGGAGTTTCAGGCCACAAGTGAGACAGCAAATGATCAGCTTGTGTTGTTAGCCGAAATGGCATTTGAAGTGCACAGTCAGAAGTCTTACAAGTACCGTCATTAACCAGAGAGCAACTTTCAGTAGTAAGGTGGCAGGTAGAGTGCAAATTTTCCAATAGTTAATCATTATAATAATGTTACCTATAAGGATGAGTAAATGATAATCAGGGTAAAAAAACACACAAAAGGATAGACTACATGCCCTCAAAACCGCTTGTGTGCTTAGCACTGAGTTACGTCCTTTAGGGTAAAAGGATATAGTGTAGTATCTGCCACCTATAGAAAAAGCAATCCAACAAGATGTGTAAACCAGTAAACGGTATTTAGGAATGGACCATGGCCCCAGACCTGTATAACACCCTGTGGCTAAGTCTCTCGTTGTACCACATAGAGATGTGCACCAAACGCAGGATCCAGTGTCCAAAGGAAACATAGTCCAGCCCTGCTGTTATGCAGTCCGGGTATGGTTCCGAAAATGTACATCAAGGGTAACCAATCCGAAAGCAATAAGCATCTTGAAGTCAGACCTTGATAGAAGTCAAAGGAAGGAAAGAAAACCAGCAGAAGGCGAAAATGACACTAACTGGGGTCCCGTGGTGCAGGCAGGCTTATATGGGTACACTGGGGGAGGCAATTCCCAAAAATGTGGGCTGCATGAGTGCTGACGGCACTGAGGTGAGGGAACTATGAATGCCAACATGCACTGTGACATATTGAAGCAGAGCACGATCCCTTCCCTCTGGAGACTGGGCCGCAGGGCAGTAGTCCAACATGGTAACGACCCCAAACACACCTCCAAGACAACCATTGCCTTGCTAAAGAAGCTGAGGGTAAAGGTGATGGACTGGCCAAGCATGTCTCTAGACCTAAATCCTATTGAGACTGTGGGGAATCCTCAAACTGAAGGTGGAGGAGCGCAAGGTCTCTTGACATCCAACAGCTCCGTGATGTCATCATAAAGGAGTGGAAGAGGACTCCAGTGGCAACCTGTGAAGCTCTGATGAACTCCATGCCCAAGAGGGTTAAGGCAGTGCTGGAAAATAATGGTGGCCACACAAAATATTGACACTTTGGCCCCAATTTGGACATTTTCACTTAGAGGTGTACTCACTTTTGTTGCCAGCAGTTTAGACATTAATGGCTGTGTGTTGAGTTATTTTGAGGGGACAGCAAATTTACACTTTTATACACGCTGTACACTCACTACTTTACATTGTAGCATAGTGTCATTTCTTCAATGTTGTCACATGAAAAGAAATAATAAAATATGCCACAATGAAATTAAATGGTTCAGAATTTTTATTCTGAATTGCATATATTGAAGGTTTCCTCCTGCAGTCGCTGAATGCCGGTGGAAGCGAGAAGAGAAGCCAGCTTTCAGTGGTTGCAAGAGGAGAATGGAGAGGATCGTTTTCTGAACATACTGCTCCCCATCCAACCTGTCCAGGTGTAAAATAGAATGTGACAGGGGTGCCGCACAGATCCCAGAAACATGTGGCAGGGACACCATTGCTACCGCTGACCCTACAGCAGTGGTTGGGATGTGTGGTAAAAAAAACTTGTCTCATCTATGGGGTTTACTGCCCCGCCAACCTACAAATGTAAATGAGCCCTTACTGTTCTGAGCCCAATATAAGGCTGGTTTCACATTGATGCACTGTGGTTCAGGAGTTTTGGTGCAGTCTCAGAAAACATACCAAACCCGCAGGAAATAATAGAAGTGTGGGGCTCAGTGCAGCTAACCTGCAGCAAAGCCGCAAATTCACTAGTACACACCTGCGGATCAGTGTGAAAGCAGCCTAATAGTTGTTGACCCTTTTAAAGGTGCAAATATGCCTATTGCAAAAGCGCATTGTATGAGTTTGTGTAATACACTAACCTTTTCCTCTTCCAGCTTTTTACTGGCATCACTCTCCAGACTGCCAGAAAGGTCCCAGATGGTGCAGAAGGTATTAATCGCCTTAATGCAGCTCCTGCTCCCTCTCTGCCAGTGTGATGCACTCTGATGCTCTAGTATGGTGGGTCGGTAAGCCCAGATCATGATTAATGGGTTGACGACTCCAGGAATGCGCTTCCCTGGTTTGAGCTCACGGGTGACAGGTAGAGCACCCCTGGTTTAGAAGTTTACACTTCTCGATGTTAAAACTACAAGCACAGAGACCTAATATACTGGTTCCAGAAAGGCTAAGCCTAGGGTAAGGATCTATTATGTTATAGCATGCACTGCAACCTAGATTTGTGACTGAAAATTCTGTCCAGTTCTTCAGACAGGACAAATCTATGGCTTGTTGAAGAGGTTTCTAAAGCACCATCCCCAAAGGTCATAACTCCCAGGACCCTCTTAAAGATGCTACCAGGGCCTTTTGATATGTAGTGTGCTCCTTGTTATTGCTCTGTGCCTTCTTATTGGTCACTTAGAACATTCTACTAGTCAATAGGAAGGTGCAGGCAAACATAACAGACCAGGCTTGCTCTGGTCAGTTTCTTAATAGATCACCATTAGGGTTCTATCATGCACCATGGGGTACCCACTAACCAAGCCATGAGAGTCTAACATATTTCACAAAGCCAAGGGAATACTTTAAGATTGCAATACATAAAGATTTCTGGGACAAAAAGCAAGGGGAAAAGCTCTCAAACGGGTATTACAAAAGAAGCAACACTTTTTTTGTTTTTATTTCAGTAATCACATGTTGTAATTCTTATCCAATAAATTGTGTTGTGTCCCCATTTGAAAGTTCTCCTTTCACGTCCTGTCCCAGTGCTAAGAAGCATCAAATAGGGACACAAAGATAATGTTTAAATAAAAAAAAAAGAAAAACTTGCCAAAAGGTTCTAATCCTGTTTCTGCTTACATTAGGAAAAACTTCAAATCTACAAATGTGTTTTCTGAGGATTGAGTAAGCAAAGAAAAGTTTAAATCTACTAAAATAAATTCCAGGTGTCATTTTATACCTGCTGTGGCTTTTGTACTGTAGTTTTTTGCTTATTCCGGCGCTCCAGAAACTGTTTGGAGAAATCCTTTGCCTCTGGGGTGTCCCCAAGATATTCACAGACATAATCATGGACCTCATAGGGAGACTCCACCTCACGCAGGAAAGATACAAATGTGTGCACTGTAACAAAACATAAAAGAATACTGTAAAGTCAACTGAAAAGTGTACATAAAATTAAAAAAGAAAGGAACTTTGACCTACCTGTAAATTCCATATCTTGGGAGTACATTACAGGACCCAGGCAACATATTTATACACCGTGTGTTATAGGCATGCACCTTCATGTGATGTAAACTGTACTATATTTTTTATGCTATGAATTGCACCCTGCACTGATATTCTACACACAGTATTGAATATATTTACATTCTTTTGGACTCTGATAAGAAACCTGTCTGCCTATTTAATTTCCCTTGTTATTTTAAGTTCCCGGTCACACAGCTTCAACTCTGAAATCGTGCGGCTTCCAGTGCAGTCGCACGATTTCAAAGTCGGATGTTATTCTGACTCAAGTTGCGACCTGCAAGACATCTACAGCTTGCAAGACACAGATGTCTATGCAAGTCACACCTGAAGTAGTGCATGCACTACTTTCAAAATCAGTGCGACTTCGACCAAGTTATAACTGCACCGATATGACCACATGAATTGCGGACAATAGGGTGCGACTTGCCATGCGATTTGAAACTTGGATCGCATGTCAAGTCAAACCTGGTATGACTGGGCACTAAATGTACAACTGTAACATTATTGTGGTACCTACACAAGCATGGTTAACAAAAAAATAAAAAATCAAATTTGCCTAACAAAACAGTTATTTGGAATGATGCTGAGTATTTCTGTGTCTACTGCAGTTATTAATTTGGAAACACTGATCAAAAGACTTGACGTTCAGAGTTCTGCTGTGAGAATCTTGCAGCCAAAAGCAGCATCTGCAAAAGATTGAAATTCCACCTGGTACTGATCTGGTGGAATAGGCACATAGCACAGTGGTGGATTTTTCAGTAAAGGTGCCCCTTGTGAGGTCCTGAGGAGAGAACAGGGAATCTATTTATCTGATGGAAATAGTAGCTTTGAGGTATACGCTTAACAGCTCTGAATAAATCAATGCAATGTAGAGACAAATCCTTTAAATGCTTAGGAGCAGGGTAGTACAATGTCCTCACTGAGGTGGAACACTGAAATTACATTTGGAATAAAAGATAATCTTGCGTGCAATACAACCCTGTCATTGGGAAGTATGAGGAAACGTTCTTTACAGGAAAGGGCCATCAGTTCAGAAACATGTCTGACAGATGTGATAGCTTCCCAAAAAGGCAACTTTGCTGGCAAGAACCTTCAGGGGAATGTCCCTGATGAGTTCAAAGGGTGGTTTCTGAGCTAACCAAATTAAGGTCCTAGGAAGCACAAGGTGCTGCAAGAGGGGATCAATGCAAAGAAACACCTTGAAGAAAAGGCTTTTACAAGGGAATGTGAAGACAGAGGCAATTGAAAAAAGATGGAGAAGGATAAGTTCACCTTTGGAACATGTTACGTGTTCCAGCATCTGCAGCCTCTCCTCCCAGTGACAGCAGGCAGTGAATTCTTTCCACGCACTGTTACAATTTGAAAATGTCCATGAAGGATTGTCTACAAACACTGGCGGCCATTGTGTCTGACGGCTGGTAGATCTCAATGAATTAAGAGGTCGCTGGTGAGCGCTCTCGTAGTCCATTGATCTTCCTGTTCTCAAGTAACTGCCTGAGTGACAGTTATACTGAGAGTCTGCAGGAGCCTGAGATTGCACCTGCAATCTGCTAATTGCAGGTGCAATGCTCTAAAGGCTCCTAAACACTCACACCACTCACACACTCACCAACTCAACACCTCACACACTCACACACTCACACACTCAAAAGGAAAAAAAAAATGCCAAAAGTCAAGTTCTGTTTGCAGACCAGAATGTGAGACAGAGTAATCTCTGGGACTAAATTGAATGCGTTCACACCAGGCAAAATACTGCATTCACACCAGGAAAAATAAGATAATATCTGTATGAGGGTTTTTTTGCTTTCAGCAAAGAACGAATCAGACTCAGAAATCTCTTTATCCTTTAAGGCCTTGGTTTCAACAGCCATGTCGCTAAAGCTAGAGACTGAGAAGCAGGATGTAATAAAAAAAACCTTAGGACAGTAGATCTGGCCTGTTGGGATGGGGCTATGGGTTGTTTGCTAGAAGTCTGAGTATGTCTGTATGTCTGTGTACCAGGTTCTTCTGTGTAAGTTAGAATTACTTGATTTGCTTAATTTTGTGGGGCAGGCGAAGTAGAATTGGCACTTGAAGGAAGGCATAATTAAGGGGACGAATGGGTCATCTGAGGCCAGGGCTAGAAGATCGGCCCTGCAGGGACTACCTGACAGCCCTGAGCTCTAGGATGTTGATGGGGAGCTTGGTTTCCTTTCTTGACCTTCTTTAAGTTGTCAAGAATTGTAATACTCCTCCATAGCCTGATACACTTGCTTCTGTAAGGACTTTGCAGTGGCGGGGAAGAAAGCCTTCCCCACTATTTTGGGCCAGGGTGGTGATCACCTAGAAAAGGAAGTTCAGACAGTTCAAGCTTGTCAGCCAGAACTGGAGGTCATCAAAATATTCCACAATAGGAATGCTCTGGGAGCACAGTAAGGGTAGCATGACTTTGGTAAATGCACATATGTGAAGAAGAATGGCAAAATGACAAGCAACAAACTGAAGCTGAAAAAATCGGAACACACAAATACACATCCTTGATGTCCATAGAGGCCAGAAAGTATTCTCGATAAAAGAAGGCTATGACAGACCTGCTGGAAACTCCATAAAGAAATTCTGGTCCTAAATGAAGACATTTAGGACCTCGAGATCCAGGATAGGATGGATTTTTCTCTTTTGGTTTGGGAACCAAACAGGTTGAAGTTGAACCCTTGGAACTATTCTGCCGCATGTACTTGGGCGATGACCCCCTGCTTCAGAAGACGCACTAATCTGTGTGATTACACAGGTGGGTTGGAAGACATTGTCCAGGAAGGGGGCCCGAGAATGGAATTCTAGCTCGTGAAAATTCCTGTTATCTTAATTGTACAGTATAGGACAAAAGGCTTGTATTCAAAGTCCATGGGAAGTTCCCAAGCAATAAACTGAGGGGTGGGCAACAACATAAACAGAGCTGCCAACAAAAAAAAACAAGAGCAAGAACCTGGAAATACACTCAGATGACAATCTTTGAAGTACTTTTTGGCTAAAACCCACATCTACTGAGACCTGAACATCCACCTGGTAAAACTGAGTACATGTCAGAGGACCAGGCGGAGACTTTACAAATCTGTGATACCGATGCTTGATGCTGAAAAGCCTGAGAGTAACCAACAGCCCTGATGGAATGGACTTGGAAAAAAAATGGAGGAATCCTTTAAGGGTGTAGGCCCTGGAAAGAGTTGACTACTCCACCTGGCAATGCTGGAGCACAGGTTGTAGGCAGAACAAAGAGGAACTCTTGTGAATGAAGTCTGTGACTACTAGTTAGACCCTGACAGCCCTGACCACAGGCAGTGTAGGGCAATTTCACTGACATGTTTTGGGGCAGAATAGAGAGAAAGAAGAAGTACAATGTCCTCATTAAGGAGGAAAGAGACCACCTTCGCTAAAAAGAAAGTTTTGGTCTCACAACTTTTCCTTGTGCAAAACAAAAAAAGGCTCTTTATAATTTTTTCCCACAGCTTTCCCTTTGTCACAGAAACATACGGATATAATGGATAAGGAGATTTCACTGTCTGAAGTTCTGGAGACTATCAAACAGTCCAAACCCTCCAAAGCTCCTGGGCCTGATTGTTTTACTATTTTTCTATTACAAACACATTTGCTCCACTATTCGCCCCACATCTGGTCAACTTTTTCAATGTACCTAGACAAGGCAAGCCATTAGACATGGATACTAATAGGGCTCACATTAGCATATTGCCCAACCCCAATAAAGATCCTAGTGTTTTATTTAATTGCAGGCTGATATCGCTGGTAAACTGTGATCTCAAGCAGCTTACCAAAGTATGCGCTAACAGACTAAACGGCTTTATAGTAGGGCAGCAACTAAAGATTATTTTCATAAACGATTAGATGGCCGCTTATAAAAACCTCGAAAAAAAAATTTGGTACATACCGTAATTTAGTTAATGTGAAGTAATTTTTCTTGAATATCTTAATGCAGTGGTAAATAAAATAGCCAGCTACAGTGGGTATAGAAAAGAATCACCCCCCCCCCCCCCCCTTAAACATTATCACATTTTGTTGCTTTTCAGCCTAAATTGAAGATAGATAGTTTTTGTTTTATCCAGCTGTATTTACTCGGTGCAGCTTATAACATTCAAGTGACAGATATAACATCAACACGTCTGAAAGAAAAAAACAAAACAATGAGTTGGAAAAAGGATCACCCCCCTTCCTAAAATTGATTTGTAAACTCACAGGTGTAGCTAATCACCTTTTCAATGGCACACAAAGCCATTTAACTTTCAGCTGTGGTCATTTCGATTAGCTCAGCATGAAAAGAACTTTCCTGGAGCATTTCAGACCCTGATAGTGCAAAAAATCAACTATGGGGCACTGTCAAAAGAATTTTGAGATAAAGTTGGACAAGCACAAGTCAAAAGATGGATAACAAAAAAATTCAAAGGCTTTATCAATCCCTAGAAGCACAGTAAAGACTATATGACCACATAGTGGTTGAAGAAGAAAAAGTTGAATGTCGTTGCATGACCTAGTCAGAGCGCAGACTTAAACCTCATTGAAAAGCTGCGGAATGACTTGAAGACTACAGTCCACAAATTGTCATCATCAAACTTAACTGAACTTGGGCAGTTCCGCAAAGAAGAGTGGGCAAATATTGCAAAGTCTAGGCGTTCAAAGTTAGTAGAGACATATCCCAACAGACTAAAGTTAAAATTAAAAGGTGGTTCAACAAAATACTGACACAAGCGATTGATTCTTTTTCCAACTCAGAAATTCTGTTTTTGAATTTTTTTAAAAAAAATTTTCTGAAATGTTAGTGTTATATTTTTCACTTGGATGTTATAAGTTGCACTTCGTAAATACAGTTGGATAAAACAAAAAGTGTG